CCCAAAAAATGTTATATATATATACCTCCCTATATATTGTTGCACAGACAGATGTACACACACACAGACTCATACATACATTCATCAGTGCATGAGGCTCTCACTATTGCGGGATTGTTTCCGTGACTCTAACCCTTTACCCCAAATCACAATGGAGAAACCATACCACCGCACTAAGGCCCACCCTCTACATCCATACGTGCATAAATATGCATAATAGAAAGGGGGTATCTTACATCCACGATCCACCTCCCCTGAGATTTGTCCAAATAACGAGACCCTATAGTTGTTAATAATAACACTGACCTCCTTGTCAATGACATCCGTCCCAATTTTGTAATAGAAACAATGGAATGACAATAGTGCCCAGGAGATGATATTAACCGGAGAAAATTTCAACCACACCCCTTCTAGTTTACCATAACTTTAAGAACACTCTTTATTATTAAAAACATCACTGACACCCCTTCTAATTTATATTTAAATATCACTAACACCCTCTGTCATTAAACCACCATTTATAATAAAAATCAATTATCTAAAATACCAAAATTGCACCTATATAAACTCTAAACAATCTTTCTACATAAAATTCGATTAAAATTCAACCCGATTAAAATTCATTTTTTTACGTATTAAAATTCAAGCCGACTAAAATTCATTTTTCTATATATTAAAATATGAGTCGATTATAATTGAATTCGAACTGATTAAATTTTACTTTTTTTACATATTAAAATTTGAGCCTATTAAAAGTATTTTATGTATTAAAATTTGAGCCATTTTGAACTCGAATTGTTAGGTCCTATTAAAATTTATATTTTTTATTTATTAAAATTCAATTCAAGTTGATTAAAATCTATTTTTTATGTATTAAAATTTGAGTTAATTAAAATTTATATTTTTTTATGTATCAAAATTGGATTGATTAAAATTTAATACGAGTTGATTAAAATTTAATTTGAGTCTCGCATATAATTTTAATCTGCTCAAATTTTAATACATAAAAAAAATATATAATTTTTAATTGATTTAAATTTTAATATATAAAAAAAAAAANCTCAAATTTTAATACATAAAAAATATATATAATTTTTAATTGATTTAAATTTTAATATATAAAAAATAAATTTTAATTAGCTTAAATCAAATTTTAATCGGTTCGAATTTTAATACGCACAAAAATTTTAAAAATAGAGAAGATCTCATTAAAGAAATGTTTATCTAGAGTGAGTGTAGATAAACTTTTTCCTAAAATATATCATGGGCAATTTAGTAAAATTGCATTATAATTAACACCTTTAATCTAACTGAAGGTGTCATTGAAAATTTAGAAAATAGAGGGGGTGCCCTTGAAGATATGATAAACTAGAAGGGATGTTGAAATTTTCCCAATTAACTATATATATCAGTTTTTTATTTGCTTTATAAGAACCAATCACAAAATGCCACATCATCTTTTTTTGGCCATCGATCTTTTGCATTAAACTACTTCCAAAGCTTTGATTGCCAATGGAGTACCACCAAATCAGTAAGGTTGCATAGAGAATTCAACTCCCTCGACCATCCATAAAGACTTTTTTTCTTTTTGACAGTGTCTCTCTCTTTTATTTTTTTGTCATCTTAAACAAGTATCTTTTGGGTTTTATTTTTTAATTTTGGGTATCAATACCAATGCCTGAATCCTTAGTGGAAGACCACTAGAAGTGTTCTCACCAAGAATTTGTTGCTTCTGTGGTTGCTTGTGAGTCTGGTTCTAATGATTCCACGAATGATTAAGATGAAAGTAGAGGAGAAAGAGTACAGGCTCCACTATCAAAGCCAATAATGCAGAGAGAGAGAGAAAGGGGGGGGGGCCTATGTGACTTTTTGCTTGGCAACACCTTTAAGCTGTCCGTACGACAGATATGGCTTTTTAGGTAAAGAGTGCAAATGATTTGTAACATGGATAAAGGTAATATTGGCATTTCAAAAATATTGATTGCTTACATCATCCATTCTTTACATATCCCTACCACCACACTAATGCTTGGGAGAATCAGTTATAAACAACCAAAATAGCGGGGACAACAATGTTATCATCCATGCCTGCAGGGTCCAGGTGATATTTGGACAAACTATAGGGGAGATGGATGCAATTTACCATCATTTATACATATATGGTTTATGTAGTTCAAGGACAATTTCAATAGTATTATGAACAGCAAACAATTATACCAGTAAGATAAAGATAACATGGCATACTAAAGGCTGGAAAAAACTAGCTTGTAAGAAACATACTTAAAATAAGTTAGAACAAGCTTGTTGTATCTTAACTAATAGGATAAATCTTGTGCTGTGTTTCCCCTCATTGCTATTTTCATGTATATTGTACTAGTTACTATATGTGACTGCTGTTTCTCTCCCTACCTCTCTGCAGCACCTCTCTTGTTCTATCTCTTCTTTTCCTTCTCCGCTTATCTCTACGTTTCACACCTGTGATTTGCTTCTCTTCTCAGTATATCCCACAACTTTTGGTAACTGCAAGTCTGCAAAAATCTTCTGCTCAGCTGGCTTCAACTCCTCTGCTTGTGAAAGTACAGACTGCTCCCAGGTGAGATTTCCCATAGTTTCCCACTTGTACCTTGTTCTCCACATCTCATTCCTTCTTCAACTTTTCCATCAAATTACCTCAAATCAGAGGCCTGGATGAGCCATATTCTAAGTCATAACTGCCCAGACCTCCACTTGTCTGGATTTGGACCCTTTGTTTGCGCCTTTAAGCCTTAGAACCCAAACTGTTAGTTTCCGAATTGTTTCTCCCCATCATATTTTTCTCCTTTCATAAACTTATTTTACTTTGTGGGCTGTTTAGGTGCAAGTTTATATTTCGTTACTCAGTGAAGTTGCTTATAATCTATCCAAGCTTGATATCTAAGCTATATCTGAAGACTTTTATTTCCAACATTATCAACCCATAGGCCTGCATTAAGACTAATACCAGACAAGGAACCCGTAACTCATAGGAGGCTGTAAGGGGTTGGTTCAGAAATTCTCCCATGTGGACACGCATATGAATAATTTATAATAGAAACATGGTTATGTCTAAAATAGAAATTCAAAGAGAAATTTTAGAATCAAAAGGATTGAAGATAAGTACAAATAAAACTAGATATAGAAAAAGTAATTTCAGAAGTAGAGATTCAGAAAGTGAGGAAGAGAAGACCAAACTCCAAGACATTAGCTAACACATTCGGTATTTTATGGTCAATTATCCACAAGGGCGGGGCGATTGAAGACAATGTTTCTCATAGTATTAAAGTGGGATGGATAGAGTAGAGTAAGGCATCGGTNATATTAAAATTTGAGCCTATTAAAAGTATTTTATGTATTAAAATTTGAGCCATTTTGAACTCGAATTGTTAGGTCCTATTAAAATTTATATTTTTTATTTATTAAAATTCAATTCAAGTTGATTAAAATCTATTTTTTATGTATTAAAATTTGAGTTAATTAAAATTTATATTTTTTTATGTATCAAAATTGGATTGATTAAAATTTAATAAGAGTTGATTAAAATTTAATTTGAGTCTCGCATATAATTTTAATCTGCTCAAATTTTAATACATAAAAAATATATATAATTTTTAATTGATTTAAATTTTAATATATAAAAAATAAATTTTAATTAGCTTAAATCAAATTTTAATCGGTTCGAATTTTAATACGCACAAAAATTTTAAAAATAGAGAAGATCTCATTAAAGAAATGTTTATCTAGAGTGAGTGTAGATAAACTTTTTCCTAAAATATATCATGGGCAATTTAGTAAAATTGCATTATAATTAACACCTTTAATCTAACTGAAGGTGTCATTGAAAATTTAGAAAATAGAGGGGGTGCCCTTGAAGATATGATAAACTAGAAGGGATGTTGAAATTTTCCCAATTAACTATATATATCAGTTTTTTATTTGCTTTATAAGAACCAATCACAAAATGCCACATCATCTTTTTTTGGCCATCGATCTTTTGCATTAAACTACTTCCAAAGCTTTGATTGCCAATGGAGTACCATCAAATCAGTAAGGTTGCATAGAGAATTCAACTCCCTCGACCATCCATAAAGACTTTTTTTCTTTTTGACAGTGTCTCTCTCTTTTATTTTTTTGTCATCTTAAACAAGTATCTTTTGGGTTTTATTTTTTAATTTTGGGTATCAATACCAATGCCTGAATCCTTAGTGGAAGACCACTAGAAGTGTTCTCACCAAGAATTTGTTGCTTCTGTGGTTGCTTGTGAGTCTGGTTCTAATGATTCCACGAATGATTAAGATGAAAGTAGAGGAGAAAGAGTACAGGCTCCACTATCAAAGCCAATAATGCAGAGAGAGAGAGAAAGGGGGGGGGGGCTATGTGACTTTTTGCTTGGCAACACCTTTAAGCTGTCCGTACGACAGATATGGTTTTTTAGGTAAAGAGTGCAAATGATTTGTAACATGGATAAAGGTAATATTGGCATTTCAAAAATATTGATTGCTTACATCATCCATTCTTTACATATCCCTACCACCACACTAATGCTTGGGAGAATCAGTTATAAACAACCAAAATAGCGGGGACAACAATGTTATCATCCATGCCTGCAGGGTCCAGGTGATATTTGGACAAACTATAGGGGAGATGGATGCAATTTACCATCATTTATACATATATGGTTTATGTAGTTCAAGGACAATTTCAATAGTATTATGAACAGCAAACAATTATACCAGTAAGATAAAGATAACATGGCATACTAAAGGCTGGAAAAAACTAGCTTGTAAGAAACATACTTAAAATAAGTTAGAACAAGCTTGTTGTATCTTAACTAATAGGATAAATCTTGTGCTGTGTTTCCCCTCATTGCTATTTTCATGTATATTGTACTAGTTACTATATGTGACTGCTGTTTCTCTCCCTACCTCTCTGCAGCACCTCTCTTGTTCTATCTCTTCTTTTCCTTCTCCGCTTATCTCTACGTTTCACACCTGTGATTTGCTTCTCTTCTCAGTATATCCCACAACTTTTGGTAACTGCAAGTCTGCAAAAATCTTCTGCTCAGCTGGCTTCAACTCCTCTGCTTGTGAAAGTACAGACTGCTCCCAGGTGAGATTTCCCATAGTTTCCCTTGTACCTTGTTCTCCACATCTCATTCCTTCTTCAACTTTTCCATCAAATTACCTCAAATCAGAGGCCTGGATGAGCCATATTCTAAGTCATAACTGCCCAGACCTCCACTTGTCTGGATTTGGACCCTTTGTTTGCGCCTTTAAGCCTTAGAACCCAAACTGTTAGTTTCCGAATTGTTTCTCCCCATCATATTTTTCTCCTTTCATAAACTTATTTTACTTTGTGGGCTGTTTAGGTGCAAGTTTATATTTCGTTACTCAGTGAAGTTGCTTATAATCTATCCAAGCTTGATATCTAAGCTATATCTGAAGACTTTTATTTCCAACATTATCAACCCATAGGCCTGCATTAAGACTAATACCAGACAAGGAACCCGTAACTCATAGGAGGCTGTAAGGGGTTGGTTCAGAAATTCTCCCATGTGGACACGCATATGAATAATTTATAATAGAAACATGGTTATGTCTAAAATAGAAATTCAAAGAGAAATTTTAGAATCAAAAGGATTGAAGATAAGTACAAATAAAACTAGATATAGAAAAAGTAATTTCAGAAGTAGAGATTCAGAAAGTGAGGAAGAGAAGACCAAACTCCAAGACATTAGCTAACACATTCGGTATTTTATGGTCAATTATCCACAAGGGCGGGGCGATTGAAGACAATGTTTCTCATAGTATTAAAGTGGGATGGATGGAGTAGAGTAAGGCATCGGTGTATTTTGTGATCGGCACAAAACTCATAAGCTGACAGGGAAGTTGCACAAGACAAGCATTAGACCAACAATTTTTTATGGTACAGAATCTTGGGCAATGGAGAAACAAAATGTTCAGAAACTAAGTATGGCTAAAATGGCAATGTTAGAATGGATGTGTAGTAAAATTAGAAATGGTATTAAAAAATACAAGTATATTTGTGAAACCGTATAAGTAGCAACAATAAAAAAATAAGATACTAGAGAATTGGCTTTATTGGTTTGGACATGTCTATAGAAGAACTAGTGTTGCATTAGCGAGTAAGAGTGGTGTGATACTTATCGATAATACGAGAGGGAGGGTAGACCAAAATTAACTTTGAATGATATAATACAATTAATATATAGTTTGTGGTCTAACAATAATTATAGCCCTTCATAGAGCACAATAGAGGAACAGGATTCATTGTAGCCGATCCAAGTTGGGTTGAGTTTTAGACACATGACTATAATGGCCACATATTATATCCGAGGAGCATGCCTTACAAGAAAGCATATGCACATGACATTCCTGGAAACTGATGGTTGATATAAAGGGAATATTCATTCCGTCCAAGAATAACTAAAGGATATGAAATATGGGTGCGTGTGATACCCAAACATAATATATATATATATATATATAGAGAGAGAGAGAGAGAGACAGAGACAGAGACAGAGACAGAGACAGAGATAGAGGCAGAGGCAGAGACAGAGAGCATATGAGGTCAGTGACAATACAACTTGCATGGTTATGTTGCTGCATTAGCAACAGGTAACAAAGGCCCCAATCCATCTTAGACAGCATGCATTTCTTAATCTAGCTGAGCTTATATCTTACTATCCTATAAGCTCAGCTATCTGATTCTAATTCAAATAAGACCAGTCTTTGCAGTATGTCATCAAGATACCAACAATCGTTTGAAGAATATTCATTTTTGTTGCAGTAAAACAAAAATATCATGAGATATTTCAAATAGAAAAACAGTTCAAGTGGGGCCAAAAGAGTACGACTGACCTAATAAAACAAATACCAATCAATAGGATCAAGAACAGCTCATGAAGGTTCAGTTTTCCTCCTTTTGTGCAATACATATGTACACTACGTGTCTTGCATTAAAGAGATTCGCAGATGGTAAAGTAGGAAAATGCAGAACCGCAGAAAACAGCATAAAAGCCTGGCATACCTTGAGTTTTCGGTGGAGAAGCCTGAGAAGTTTCTCTTGGACGTTTATGAGAGAGGCTGACATGATGATCCTTGGGACTACCATCCATAAATGGTAACAGATCCTGCATTGCAAAAAATATTGTCAAATCACATAGCTTTAAAATTCAAATTATTTATTTTTTACAGTTATGATTCTCAGGCCCTTTTTGCAACCAAAATTTATTCAGGCAACTAGAGAGAAGACAAAATTACATACAACTGTTTACAGGTGATGTAACCATGTACCTCCAGCAAACTCTCTGGTTGTATCATTGCACGCCATGAGCGCATTTTCTGGCCCGTGACAGGGTCAATGACAAGAATTACAGGAGCAGAATCCAATTTGTAATAGGTACATACTTTACTGCCCTCTTCCGTATCATCAGACACCTATATTCAAAACAAGCGCATGACCAAAATAGGATAAATGCTGAACAAAAACAAAATCAAGATTAGAAACAATCGCAACAGATCCCAATTTGTATGCCAGTGAGGCTACCGGAGTTAATTACCTGGAAACCAAAAGTCCAATTTTGACTGGAAAGACACATAGTAAGTTTAAGACTACAATTCACCTGGCAAACTTTTGTCACAAAAATATTCAATTAATCCACTAGTATGTGATGAGAACCAGGTGCCAGATACAGCATAAGTGTTGTACTGCTCACAAATTGGAGACAGAATTACATATGCCCTGTCATGGGATTTGAAACTTTGCAAGGAGGAGGAATGAGCAAGGAGAGTTTACAACTTATCCAATTATCCAAAGAAAGAGAAGAAGAATGAGAGGAGGCGGCAGCGGCGGCGGAAGAAGAGAGGGTGGGGTCACTGGGTTTCTGTTAGTTAAATTGGAGTCTACACAGAGCACATCCTAATAGCATAAAGAATAAAAGTTGGTTCAATCTTGAGGACAGGTCATCTGGGACTGTTTATTAACTATAACAATATCTGAGGTATATTTTCAGTTTTTTTATGTCAGTATCTTATACTCAGTTCCCTTTATGTGGAACGTTTTTGGCTTAGCTTGTATGCTTCTAATGATTGGTTTAATCAAGGACAAGTCAGGAAATTCATTAGTTCCGTAACCAAGTAAAATAAAAACTTTAACCAATTAACTAACTTATCCGAACCCAAAAATGCTAGGACAAGGCATTTTTGAATTGAGTTGAGTTGACAAATTAAGTAACTTAGTAAAAATTCTGTATTATAGGCTACCTGCTACCACCAAACTGTATCAGTCAATATGTATTAATATCAACAGGCTCTCTAATTTTTCTCGAGAAGAATTCATGGCATGCACGTTTTCAACATTTATTTTTACATTCCTAAGTCTCCACAAATATTTTACAATTCCACATCTATGTTTTTGCATACCCCCTGCATCCCAAAATCAAAATCCTACTAAAGCCCAGCAATACCAAGACCATTAGCTAGAGCTAAACTATGATTAGAAAGCAACGAGGGTGTGTAACAAATGACACCCTATGAAGAAGCCAAGTCAGAAACGAAAAAAAAAAAAACCATGGATACTTGCAACTGAAAACATAATACATACCTGCCAAAAGATGAAATTAGTCCTAATAGTTTGAGCAACAGCTTCATTTCCCCAGGTGTCGCGGTTAAGCTTGACAGACACCATGTAAAATAATATAGTTGAGCAAAGATCCCAAAATGAAAAAATAGAAATGTTCAAAAAGAAAAAATTGGAACTGTTCAAATGAGAGTGTGTGTGTGTGTTCTTGAAAAAAAAAAGTACCATATGGGAGCTGAATTCCCTGGTGGATTGCAAGTTTACCAAAAGCCATTTGTCCTGGACTTTAGCAGCATCTTTAGCCTGCATAGTGTGTAATGCATTTTCAGTTAGAATGCCATAGGTCAGCAAATAAGGAAAGCAAAATAATTAAAGCCTAATAATATTAAGTGGCAAGTATCTTGTGCTTAGCAAAGAAATGATTTGTGCACAAGAAGATTGATCTATCCACCTCAAAAGGATACAGCACAACATTAAATTTTTCTCCAGTTCTTCGCCATAGCTTCTTGGATCTTCTTCCAAGGATCGTAAATCTTTCTTTAAAACAAAACTTGCAGAACTCCACCATCCATATTCTGCGAGGCAATCCCACGGAATTGGAACCAAATTCATTAGACACAGCAATTACATCCCATGTTTTATCACCGATCACACCATAACCATTCTGCTCAACTAACCCATTCCCCTTTTACACATTCCCCCATTCAACATCCATGTGATCAATTCCAATGGTTTCCTCCATCTGTGCTTATCAATTCCCTGAGGAATACCAACAAATCCTTTTTGTCCAGAATTTTGCACTTTAGATACATAAGAAATTTTCCTTTTGTGTTAGAGTTCAATTCCACCCAAATAATATAAGACTTGACAGAAAATTATCTGAAGCAAACATTGTAGAGTTCTAACTTTAAGATCCCATGAATGTATATCCCAACCAAGCCACACATTCCATTCCCACAGATAAAGAAATACTGCAACCCAACTTCTCTGCAAATCGAATCACATCTCCCTAGGAATCCTACATTCCTACTCCACCTTCAATAAAATAATTTATGGTCAATCTTAATCTCACAACCAATATTTCTGAAATCTAAGACTGAAGGTCAGTGATGGAGAGAAAGAAGAAAGAAAAAACTCCATTGCTCAAAAATTCCTGTTTGTTTTCCATTCAGCCGCTGTTCAGATCAATCAAAAAATATTTCAGAAAAGAAGTCATCTTCGTGTTTCCAATCCTTATAAATGGTTTAAAAATACTTCAATCTACTGTTAATCCATAGCCCACCCACCTTCAATAACTCCAATCCTTGTAGTACATTACCAGCCAAATAAGATCATGGATCAGATACGTAAGCTCACAAGTAAATCTCATTTGATGATTATTAAATTATCCCGGCTACTTAAATTTATCTACCATGCCATCAACACAATAAGTCCTTAAAATAATCTAAATCTACGCTTTTACTTTATTGAATCTTAGTCAGATTGTCCCTTCCGAATCTTTCGGAAGATTATGAAAATAGTACCAATGGCTTGTGTTTTGCCTTCCTAGTCGTTGTAGGCATTCACTTACATTTTTCCCACCTAACAAGGAAAAGTTTAATTGATTATTGTTAACAAATCATCTTAAGTTGTCAAATATTCATCTTTCCATCCAAAACATGTAGTTGCTATCACAAGATGTTATGTCTATGTCATCCCAAATTCTGAGACAGGAATTCGATGATATTCCTCTCCAAATAATAAACCAGAAGCTTTTATTATTTCCACGAATATACTCCCCACATAAACCTACAGTGCTCTATCCCCCGAACTGATCTAATCCATATCTTCCCAGAAACTATACCCAACCACTACCTCCAATTTATTCTCTACACGTAAGGCCACTCCGAACAAAGAGAAACTCAAAAAAGAAGTGTGGTCAGTGACAAAACTACTAAAGAAAAAGGAACACTCATTCACTGCAAGAAGATGAGGAAATCCTGGTAAAAACCTGAATTGAGGCAGTGCAAAAGGGAAATTACCGCCATCATTGCAGGCGACGGCACAAAAGAGAGGTTAAATGAGGAACAATACATAAGTAGTAGAACCGAGCAAANCACTGCAAGAAGATGAGGAAATCCTGGTAAAAACCTGAATTGAGGCAGTGCAAAAGGGAAATTACCGCCATCATTGCAGGCGATGGCACAAAAGAGAGGTTAAATGAGGAACAATACATAAGTAGTAGAACCGAGAAAGTAAACCCCTGAAATTTTGGGACTTAAGGCTTTTCGTTCAGTCTAGTTTAAAATTAATTCATAGAGGGAAATATCAAATAATACCGCCATGAAGTTGACTATTTTTAAACTTGGAAAAGGGAACATTGGCATTAAATCAAAAGCCAAAACAACAATTGTGATTGCAACTGGGATGAAAAAATTAGTTTTGGTACATTGTTTCTATCACCTAGGAAAAGAAAACGTTCCAAAAATATTTCGGAGCACATGAAAAAATTGAGAATTTGTTTCCAAAACATTCTAGAACAGTGGTCGAAATATACCGAAACANTTTTGGTACATTGTTTCTATCACCTAGGAAAAGAAAACGTTCCAAAAATATTTCGGAACACATGAAAAAATTGAGAATTTGTTTCCAAAACATTCTAGAACAGTGGTCGAAATATACCGAAACATCATGAAATACTTCCAAAAATTCCAAGACATTGATTGAATATGCCAAAATATTTCGAAACACCTAAAAATTATCTTAAATATCTCTAAGTATTGAAATTTCGATCTCATCTGTAATTCGTTTCAACATCCTTGGATTGCAAAAGGCCAATATGACGTCGGACAGAGGTGGTGGAGAAAGAAGAGAACAAAGAAGAAGGAAGAAAGGGCTGCGAAAATTACATGATCTCATCATTACAAAACTTGGACACTCTGTGTCCTAAACGATGGTCAATCTTATTTTAGCTGATTAAAATCCACCTAGACTTTGACCTAGGTGTTGTGCAATCAATTGGACGAGTGCCACCAAGGCCAGGTAGACAGCTGGCTTCCATTTTTGAGGTCTAGGTTGAGGATCTCCTAAAGCCATCTAGACTCCCTCCAGACAATTGGTATCCAATCAACCTAAAAAAGAATGAGCTGGGCATTGGTGCATTCCAGTGTTCTCAAGAACTGAGGGTAGAATCCATCAAGCAATATAGTGAAGAGGTTTTATGGAAAAATTTCAACAAGCATAAAATCTAAAGTGGAAAAGTGGAATGGAAAAGGGTAAACATTAACAAAAATATGAATTATAAAAATCTGCTCTTTAGATATTTATCACGAAAAGGGAAAAAAATGTCTTACACATTTATTTGAGGCAGGAAACTGGAAAATTTGAATCCTAAATCATCATCACAATTGACCATCAAGGATCAAAATTTTATTTCGAAACGTTTCTGTTTTCAAGAAAACCGAAACGAATCGGTGATGGAATCGAAATTTTCGATGCTTTGCAGTGTATCAAAATGTTTCGAGGTCTTTTAACATGTTTGCACATTGTTCAGAATATTTCAAGATGTTTTGGTATATTTTAACTAATATTTCAAAAATAAATTTTTAATTTTTTTCTTTGTTTCCGAAATAGTAGCAAAATAGTTTTGAGTTTCCAAAAAGTTTTGTTACTTAGGCGACCAAACCAATTCTCGAAACAAAATTTTGATCATTGTTTGCCACACACACTTTTATGAGTTGAGCAAATAGTACCTGAGCTAAAATATGATAAGAGGGGCCAATCATAGAAAATTTACAATCTTGAGCACAAACTTGGAAGCATTTCCCTTAAACATCCACTTAAAGGTTAAGCTTTTACTTTTATATTTGCTTTGACTTTTGAACTTTGACATCATCGTCAATTCATCAATAGATGTTAACTTCATAAATTCCCAAGAGACTACCACTCATAACCAGAGTAGGTGAGTGTGCAAAAATATTTTAAAGTAGTGATCTTGAAAGAGTATTAACTGTGATTGCTCTAAACTTCCCGCTATTTTGTGGTCTGTTTTCCAAATCTTCTCAATTTTGCTGCTTCTATCCAGAATCTGCCCCATATTTTCATGTAAGAAAACATAAAAACATGCTTCGGCAGTATCAATAAGATCTTTGAAAGTTGAAACCAATATTTTCTACAAAATCTTAGCCTTTGCAATGCTAAATTTCATACACAAGAAAGAGGATTCATATAAAACAGTGATCCTCATCTCAAATGCAATTAACCAAACCCCTTAAATAATGCATTCCAATTGTCATCCAATATTAGAATACAGCAACAATTCTGAAATTCTCATCTCTACCCCTTGCTGACAAAGTCCCATCCTTTCACGGCTTGTGTATCTTACAATATCATACTAACCTATATCCTTGACTCCTCCAGCACAATAAACAATCCTAAAGTTGCCTTAAGCCAAGATCATAGGAAGTGTCTTGTCCATGCAACAATGTGGCTGATTTTAATCTTAATGAAGCCCACAATTGTAACAAAAACCAAAAGTACTGTATCAATAATGCTCATTGCNATAAAACAGTGATCCTCATCTCAAATGCAGTTAACCAAACCCCTTAAATAATGCATTCCAATTGTCATCCAATATTAGAATACAGCAACAATTCTGAAATTCTCATCTCTACCCCTTGCTGACAAAGTCCCATCCTTTCACGGCTTGTGTATCTTACAATATCATACTAACCTATATCCTTGACTCCTCCAGCACAATAAACAATCCTAAAGTTGCCATAAGCCAAGATCATAGGAAGTGTCTTGTCCATGCAACAATGTGGCTGATTTTAACTCTTAATGAAGCCCACAATTGTAACAAAAACCAAAAGTACTGTATCAATAATGCTCATTGTATGGCCAAGAACTACTCAGCAAATTTCTTAGTAAGAGATTTCATTTACCTTTTCGAAAGGTCCATGGTACATCAAAGCAAAAGGAGGACGATACATAGAAGCAAGATTAACCCGAGATTGATCCGTTGTAGATGTGGCACCTTGTTCTGCTCCCCATATCCCTGGACGTTTCATTTCCTCATTAAAGTTGCGGAAGGGAACTACAGGACGAGCTTCATGTGATGGATCTCCTGTTCTCGATGCTCTTTAGGAACAAAAAGATGGGAAAAAAAAAACCAAAATCACCCTTCATGAGCAATACAATCAACAAAAAGATCCAAAACAGAAAGATAACAGAAAAAAGCACAAACAGATTTTAGGGGTATGAGCAGAATGGACTAAACTAATTGAATATCAGAGCATTAACTCGTACATTAAGTGCTACTGTGTCTCCCGTGCAGTGGCATTTTCGATTGGATCATCCTTCACTGCAAAAGCTTCATCAAGGCATTCCTAATTTGAATCTATTTGTTATATTAGAACGTGAGACTTGTTAATTAGGCAATTAACAACATAGTTCTTTTCCTACTAGTAGTACAAGTCATCAGATTAGTCTTTTTGCTATTGTTCACTCTGACATTTGTTGTCCATAAAGAGTACTTCAGGATTTCATTATTTTGTGATCTTTATTAATAATTATTCTCGAATGAGTTCATTGTTTCTAAGGAAGGATCATTTGGACTTGCCTAAACTTTTTCTTACATTCTACAATGAAATCCTTATACAAATTGATAAATGTATTAAGATATTTCGATCTAATAATGAGCTTGAATATGTACAATCTTTTATGCATGCATTTTGTGCTGATCATAATATCATTCATCAGACTACATGTCCACATATATCCCAACAAAATAGTGTTGCAAAATGCAAACATTATCATTTATTAGATTTTGCATGTACCCTAATGTTTAACATGCATGTACCCTAATATTTAACATGCGTGTACCTAAGCATTGGGCAGACGCTATTCTCACTGTGGACTATCTTACCAATCAGATGTCTTCCCCCATCTTAAGTAACCAATCTTCGTTCTCCTTGCTCTATCCTGATATACCACCCTTTAGACTTTAGTCTAACTCCTCGTGTATTTGGTTGTGTTGCATTTGTTCACCTTCTTGGTCCGGATTGTGATAAGCTTTCACCGCACTCAGTTAATTATGTCTTTCTAGAATACTCTCGTACTCAAAAAGGTTATCATTGTTATAACATTACCTCTAGTCGATATTATGTTAGTGCCAATGTCACTTTTTTTAATGCTTCAAGAACTACTCTTTTTTCAGATTTTAATCTACACTAGTCAAGGGGAGCTCATGTTGTCTCATGCACTTTCATCTATACTAGTCATGCATTAACAACTCTCGAATGGAAATTGACTATGAATGAGGAAATTACGACAATTCATGACAATCATACAAGGGACTTACTTCGCTTCCATCCAGTAAGCACGTTGTTAGTTTGGTTTTCAAGGCTCTACCTCAGATCATTCAGTTTTCATTTGTCGATCTTCTACAGCATTATTATTGTTATTATGTATGTCGATAACATCATCATCAGTAGTAATGTCTTAGATGTAATTGCCCACTTCAAGACTTATTTGAGAAAACAGTTTCTTAGCAAAAATTTAGGTCTTCTCTAGTTTTTAAGGATTAAGGTTGCGCAATCAAAAGATGGAATCAGTTGTGTCAACAGAAGTATATACTAGATTTACTATCTGAAACATATATTCTTGGTGAGTGTTCGATTGATACACCTATAAACTCTACAATTAAATTAAATTCTAAGAGTAGGGAAATCTTTAAAGATGCATACGGAGGTTGAATGATGTAACTGAGACGCTTAATCTCCTCCATTCAATTTAGCTTTCGAATCTTGACCTTGATAACATCATGACCTTCATAGCACCATGGAAGTGATTGAAATTTTATAATAGACTCCGCAAAATTAGTCAACCTTGTTGATAAGCTGATTTATCTTACAATTAAATGCCCTAATATTACATCTGTAGTTGATGTGATTAGCTCGTTCACATATGCTCCTCATAAGCCTCTTTGAGAGACTGTATGTCGTATATTTTGGTATCTGAAATGGGCTCCTGGGAAAGAATTATTATATCGACCATCATCATCCATAACTGTTATTTTTTGTGGTGCTTGTTAGGTAATTATGGTGATAGACGATCTACTTCAGGATAATATACATTTTTTGGTGGTAAACTTGTTACTTGGTACAGCAAGAAGAAGAACGTGGTCGCACGTTCTAGCACAAAAACTGAGTATTGTGCTATGCACATACTACTTGTGAGATGTTATGGGTCCGTTGTTTACTTCATGAAATGTGATCTGATGTATCTTCTCCTATGAAGATGCATTGTGACAACTAAACAACTATTTTCATCGCATGTAATCTAGTATTTCATGAGCGTGCCAAACTCATTGAGGTAGGTTATCATTTCATTCAAGATCTCTAAATTTAAAAAGAGATCATATGCTCCAGCTTGAGGNTAGGTTGTCATTTCATTCAAGATCTCTAAATTTAAAAAGAGATCATATGCTCCAGCTTGAGGAAGAGTGTTAGAATTCTTATTTTATATATTAGACATATGTTAATTAGTATAAGATAAAATTGTAATTACCCTAATATTGCTCAATCATAAATAAAGAGTGTAGTGCAACCTATTACTCCCTCCTCCATTCTCTCGTTTTTTTTCCCTTCTCTTTCTTCTAACCCTAATTTACATTCCCTCATTATTATTTTAACACCCTCCAACATCTCCCTTAATTCTATAATCTCTATATCTTTATCACCTTAAAAATATGCACAAATACAACATTATCTGCCTTTTAAAAACTCTATTACTATCATATATACATTCCACCTTTTCCTATTTTCCACTATAAGTCAAATAAGCTAAACAGAGACTTTTTCATGTCCCCAATAAATTCCACCAGCAGAAAAAACAAAGAGACAATGGGACGGGTAGCTAGTTCCTACTTTTATAAGACCCTCTGATATTACACTATCAAGTTACTAGCTGGAATAGTTCTAGTGGAGAAAAGTAACGCAGAGAAGGCCAACCGGCTCAAAACCACATACCTCAAAAAGATTGTCATTGTCTCTTTGCTTATAAGAAAAATCAGCTAAACCAACATCCACCAGGTAGCTGCTTAGATTTTCTTTTTTGGAAAGTGCTACTCAAATTTTCTTGCAAGCCTTCACTTTGTTTTTGTTGCCTATAAAACCATCTCCAACCATGACCCAAATTTTTACTCAAGTTTGAGTCAATTTGAGCAAAGAGTTTGATTTTGATACAACAAACTCCAATGAACAAAATCATATTTTTTAAACAAAAAATCTATTAAAAAATCCTCATATTCTCCCAAGAGTCTATTTCTTTCATTGTTATTTGTTTCATCCGAAACTTTTTTCTACTTTTTTTTCCCTACAAATATCTTTTTATGTTTAATCATCCCTTCTCCCTCAAAACTCTTTTCTTCCCTACTTCATCACATTTTAACTCTTCCTACAATAAGAAAATATCATAATTTTTTACTTTGTTATTTGTTATGTTTTTTTAAGTTATTTGATAAGAATGTTAATTTTTTAAGGTAAAAAAAAAAATCATAATACTTTATTGTTAAAATTTTTTTAAAAAAATCAATCTAACCTTGACACATGATACTATTGTTGAATAATCTGAGTTTAGCAAAATCATGTTTTTCAAACTTATTAATGAATTCAAAAAGAGATTGAAAANCTAACCTTGACACATGATACTATTGTTGAATAATCTGAGTTTAGCAAAATCATGTTTTTCAAACTTATTAATGAATTCAAAAAGAGATTGAAAATTTAAAAAAATAATAAAGATGGAGCAAAGAAATACATAAAGAAGAAGGGTGAAAAATGGTTGTTGGATCTTTAAAGAAAAATAAAATATTACCATTTGGAGATTTTAATAAAATTCTGAGTCTCCTTTTATTTGAGTGAAATTTTGAATCTCCCTTTATTTCGTATGAGTGTGACTAACAACTATAGTATATTTTCAACCTGTTTTTAATTGAATTTAAATTTGAATCAATATTTAAATAAGGATTGGAGATGCCCTAAGATATAAAAAGAAAGAAGAACCTATGTCGGTAATTTTGGTTCTTGTTCAGTTTGGTTAGGCAAAAAAATAGGAAAAGGAAGATATTAGACTTTTTCANATTTGAATCAATATTTAAATAAGGATTGGAGATGCCCTAAGATATAAAAAGAAAGAACCTATGTCGGTAATTTTGGTTCTTGTTCAGTTTGGTTAGGCAAAAAAATAGGAAAAGGAAGATATTAGACTTTTTCGGAAGTAATGAGTTAAAATATTGTTCGGGATTTGATAAAAAAAGTGTGTACCTTTAAGGTTATAGAAAGAGTAGACAATAAAGCAACATGGTACTAATTGATCACCATAGCGGCAGCAATATTGCTATTTCGAAGAAAAATATAGGATCGAATTTGTGAAGTAATGGTGATATTTGTCTGGATAGTCTATAAAATGTTATATTAAGTTTCACGCACCACACGTCTTGTTTCTTAAAAATTATTATCTTTTGCCTCTTTCTGTAGAACACTCAAAGCAAGATCTTCTTGCCTCTTTTGTATGTTTGTTGGGACAAAAAGACTTAAAACATGCAACATTTTCTTTGTGGTTTTTTTATGGGTGCAACACGGGGACTTCTCCGGGGGTTAACCATGCCCAAGCACGATTAACTCCAAGGTTTGCATGTCTACACCAAATACTATCCTAAAGGGTAGAATAAATAGAAACTCACCAATTCAAATCTAGTGTTGCGACTAAACATGACAACAGATCGATCAAACTATACCCAACTAATTGAGACATGAAACTGTGACACATGAAACTGTACCCAACTAATTGAGAGAAGAACACCTAAAGTTCAACACATCAAAGGCTAATTTGCAATGGTGCTATGTATTCAAAGTGCCACATAAACGTATATATAGATGTATGTATGTATATGTGTGTGTGTGTAGACGTTTATATATTATGTACTAATAATTGATCAGTAAGCAAAAGGAGTTTAGTCTCCTTTCGAAAGTCATCATTATCTAGCAAAATGAACATAATCACGAAAAATAAAACAACCAATTGACAAATATAATTCAATCATGGGTAAATATACACTTGAAGACTAGAAGTTGCCAATCATTTTCATCCAACAACCTATTTCTCCTCTATTCTTTCCCCTACTCTATTTTTCTCCAATACGCAACATTAACCATTTCCTTTCTGATTATACTCTTAAATTAATTTTGAATGCTTTATTTAATGATTCCAATGCATGCAGGTGCACAGATTGATGTGCTTCGTTTCTAGTTATGCATTCAAGGACGAGAAAGGTTTGATCCCCTTGGTCTCTCACTCAAGCAACCACCCATAAACGTCTCCCCCCTCCCCTCCTTTTTNATGTGCTTCGTTTCTAGTTATGCATTCAAGGACGAGAAAGGTTTGATCCCCTTGGTCTCTCACTCAAGCAACCACCCATAAACGTCTCCCCCCTCCCCTCCTTTTTTATCTTCCCATAACCATCTATCTTAAAACTTCACGTAGCCATCTCTCTATCTCCGAACCCCCATCCCCCTTGCTCCAGATCTCCAAGCAAAAACAACAAACAAAATATGTCATTTCATTAGTNATTCAAGGACGAGAAAGGTTTGATCCCCTTGGTCTCTCACTCAAGCAACCACCCATAAACGTCTCCCCCCTCCCCTCCTTTTTATCTTCCCATAACCATCTATCTTAAAACTTCACGTAGCCATCTCTCTATCTCCAAACCCCCATCCCCCTTGCTCCAGATCTCCAAGCAAAAACAACAAACAAAATATGTCATTTCATTAGTTTTTTTAGGAATATTAATTATTATTCTTAATATGTATTTCAATAATGTAAACATGTAAGGGTATACTTGTCTTTTATGTTTTTCCACTATGTAACTATTCAAATCATACCTAGATCATAGAAACTCTTGGAGTCCCACAAAATGGGATTGATTCGCGATCTAGATCACTCAAATTTTCAACCCCAAATCAACTCATAATCCAAGCAATCCCAAATTATACCTTTAACCACTACTGTATTCTCGATATTATTATTTATGTACTATAGAGATCTTCAAACATAATTTTTGGATTGTTGCGACTTGAAGGTGTTTACTGTACAAATGAGCAATCGCTATCTTTTATTATTTACAACCATTTACCAATACATTGTCTTCGATTATAATTCGCTTTTACTATTTACAACCATTTACCTATACATTGTCTTCGATTATAATTCACTTTGAAACTCTTAAAAATACAAATAAGTACTAGTTCACTATATATAGATGAATTATAATTTCATATAATATGAAAAGCGATCCGGATAAGAATTACAACACAAACCACGACCCAAAACAACAAACCAACTCAAGCTTACACATCACATCGTATCTAAATAAGTATCATACCACACACTCGTACATGTACCATCAAGGATCAAAATTTCGTTTCAAAATGTTCAAAACATTTCCGTTTCCAAGAATACAGAAACGAATAAGTAATGGAATCAAAATTATAATATTTCGAGGTATTCCATAATATTTCGAGATTTTTTGTAACATTTCAATATATTTGCACAATTGTTTCAAAATGTTAAAATACTTTGATATATTTTGCCCAACGTTTTGAAAAAATAATTCTTGAATTTTTCATTTTTTTCACTATGTTTCTGAAACGGGTCAAAACGTTTTCGAAACACGTCGAAACGTTCCGTTTTCTAAATGACCGAAACAATATATCGAAATGAAATTTTGATCACAGCATACCATATACCAAATTGATCCATGATCCGGGTAATAGAGATATGAATTGATAGTGAAAGACGGGACAACAATTCTTTCATCCTGCCATACAATTCTTCTCACAATCTGTCCTATACTTTACATGGTATCAAAGGATCAATTCTAAGCCTTTTCCTAAGAGTCACCTTGCTACCTTCTAATTCCAAGCTGGGTATATTGAGTCTTTGGTTACTTGTCCTTTTTTTTTTTTGATAAGAAACAACATATTATTGAAAAAAATTGAAGGATTACAAAAAACCATATCAACTGTGGACAAGAAGTCCAACACAAGACATGTCAATGAAACCTAAAAGGTAAAAAATAAAAACATCAAGCCACAAAATGCTTTCCAGCTTGTTCTAATACAAAAGAGACGAATATCTTGAAAATCCTTAGAAATTGAAGCCAAAAAGTGGATCCTCTCCCAAAGCCCCACAAAATCTTCCCTTTTGTCCTCAAAGAGCACCCCACATCATCCAAACAAAACATCAATTTCATATTCCTTGGAGCAAGCCAAGTAATACCCATGAAATGAAAAAGTTTATTCCATAATCCTATTATAGGGGACTTAGGTAAGGGGATCCTCTATCTCCATTTTTGTTCACTTTGGTTGTTGATGGTTTGAGTAAATTAATGGAGGAAGTAGAAGCAAGCAATTTGGTTGAAGGCTTTGTAACAGGGAGGTAACGTATAACAAGATCTCATTTGTAATTTGTAGATGATACTATTATTTTTTCTTTAGGGGATTAGTCGAAACTAAAATATCTGAAATTGATTGTTGATGTGTTTGATGTTAGTGAATTTAGAAAAAAGTATTATTGTGGGAATTAACTCCAGTGAGGAGAAAGTGAATACGATTGCTATGGAGTTGGGATGTTCAATGGGTGAGTGGCCGTTGAGATACTTAGGGTTAGGTGGTAATTCGATGTCTACCACTTTTTCAGATCTTGTTGTAGAAAAAGTTGAGAGGAGATTAGATGGTTAGAAGAAATCTTTTATTTCCAGAGGAGGTAGATTAACTTTGATTCGGTCGGTTTTGTCTAGTATTCCCATTTATTTTATGTCCCTTTTAATATGTCTAGAGGGGTGGCCAAGACACTTGAAGGGTTGAGAAGGATAATTTGATTCGATGGGAGGTGGTGACTAGATCAAAAGAGAATTAAAAGAGAAAAGAGGGCCCTCGGTGGGGAATTTGGTGAAAAAAAATATAGCTTTGATTGGTAAATAGCTTTAGAGGTTCTTGTCAGAACAAGATGCATTGTAGCATGTTGTTATTAGGAGTAAGTATGGCGTATAGGCTAATCGGTGGGATGCTAATGGGGTTAAAAGGGGTTCATTTTGGAGTCCAGACAAGTTTATCTCCTAAGGATTACCTTGCTATTCTCAAAGGGTCAAGATCATTGTGGGGGATGAACATCAAATGTGTTTTTAGGAAGATAAATGGGGTTGGGAGTCTTCTTTTTCTAGTCTTTTTCCACGATTGTATCTTCTCTCTAGTTATCATGATATCTCAGTTGCATCTATGGTTCGTTCATATTCTAACCTGATCTCTTGGGATTTTGGGTTTTGTAGGAATCTTAATGATAACGAATGTTTAGAATTGATGAATCTCCTATCTATGCTTGATCGTGTTACTTGAGTTAAAAATTAAATGGATTGGTAATTCATCATGGATTTTCTCTTGTAAATCGTTTTTTGACTTTCTAAATAACAATCCTTCAGTTCACTTTCTTATCCATCACTGAGGATTTGGAGGAAGAAAGTGTTTTTAAAAGTGCAAGTTTGTTCATGGATTATTGCTCATGGAAAATTAGCACAAATGATGTGCTTCAAAAGAGGAGACTAAATCTTTGTCCCAACCGCAACAATGTGTTCTGTGTAGAGGTGATAGTGACGATGTGGATCATTTATTTTTGCATTGTCTGTTGGCACATGCATTATGGAACAAGCTTTTTGACTTTACGGGTATTGCATGGGCTACTCCAAGGACTATGACATCCATGCTTGGTCGAGAAGATGTGGGTTTTAGGGGGAATGCAAAAATTTTGAAGATCTATGGGAAACATATTTTTGGCTTCTTTTTGGGCATCAATGTCTAAGAAATGTCAAGATATTCCTCCTTTCTTTCTTTTTTTGGTATTAGAACAAGTTGGAAAATTTTGTGTGGATTATAATTGGTTTGTTTTGGTCACATTGGATTGCTTTTGGTTGGACTGCTTGTCCATATTTGATGCGAGTCTAATTTTTGTAAATTTTATTTTATCAATAAAATGTTTCTTACCAAAAAAAAATAATGCTCTTGCCAAAGAACAATGAAAAAATAAATGATCCACTCTCTCATTGTCATCTCTACACATAACACACCATTGTGGTTAAAGACAAATTAGGTCTCCTCTTTTGAAGGACATCATTAGTGCTAATTTTAGCATGAAAAATTGACCATACACAAACTTGCACCTTTAAAGTCACCTTTCCCCTCCAAATCTTTAATGATAGATTGAAAATAAGAAGCAAAGGATCATCAATAAGAAACTCAAAGAACAATTTACAAGAAAAGACCCCAATGGATAACCAATCTAATTCCTCCTATCCACAGATTGTTGAAAAAGACTGATGTTATTAAGCATGGAGAGAAGAATCACCAACTCCTAGAGATATGCTTACAAAAACATTGAGTAACACTTGTCTGATAGTTATTTGTTCCCAAGGGAGAGAGTTAAGAATACTGATGTTATTGTTGGTTTATGTATTTCAATAATGCACCCATGGTAAGGGTGTACTCGCATTTTATGACTCATTGGATAATTATAAAAATGAATTGAGAGTGACAGGTAGGGCAACAATTCTTTCCTCCTGTCATACTATTCTTTTCACAATTTATCTCCTAAACTTTACAAATTCCACTTATCTTTTTGTTGTATACTTGTATTCAGTTTTATTTTTGACAGATTAATTTCAGACATGCACCGTGTGTGCCAAGGGTTTAAAGTATATGCCGAGGGAGACAGAGTGATAGAAGCAACACCTAATCAAGCAGCATCCAGATGAAAATAGGGGGAGGGAGAGCAGAAGGTAGAACTGCATGATGAAAGATAATGGATTGCCAATTTAAAACACAGGGCAAAATGGCTGCAGAATAACCTACCCATAAAGCATTGCATGATCATACAGAATCTCTCTTTTTACTGGCAAAGGTGCGCGAACTTCATTCCCATCATCTTGTCTCACATTTTCCTCTACCACATCCTTTGTTGATTCACTGCGACAAGAACAGAAGCGAGGATTAAGGTAAATATACATACATAGACAGACAGACAGACATATATAAAAGCATATATAGAGAGAGAGAGAGAGTAATGAAACCAGCAACCAGGATAATTTCCAATTAGATGTAACACTCCCTCCAACTTACCCTAAACTTTGATCAGGTAGGGGTCTATCATTTTCTACTGGTATAGAAAATGAAGGTTGTGCCACTGCCCCACCCTCATTTCCTACAAAAAAGAGCTGAATAGCTTCCTCAAGCTTCCAATGAGTGGCCTGCTTCCAGAAGACCCAAACATCATGTTTAATATTAAACAAAAGAAGCTTCTCAACATAGTAGAAAAGTGCACAAATTTCAAACTCAAGAAAATATATAGATTATAGTTAGTAAATGGATGGAACGAAGCATGAGTAAAAAGAAGGCCCTTTTAGGAATAGGAAAACTCATGAAAAAACTTCTCTTCAATCTTAATCAGCTAAATCTTCAAAAACAATCAAAACAATACGAGTGACAAAACCAATATGTAATTGATGTGTTTAGGTCAGCAATAATTTTGTCCATGGACAATAAGAAACTACAAAATAGAATCATGAAGTTGACTAGCCAACCACTTATTTTGGCAAAGTTTCAATTGAGCCAAATCAATTCAACCACCTCACCAATATCGAACACCAAAAACCCACGGGAACTGAAAAGAAATAAAAAACAGCCCTAACACTAAAGTGAGGCCTAACACTAGCTCTTGGGCCAGTTAAATTTAGGGCTAACACTAAACAAGTAAATTTCATGGCTATGCCAACATGGCCTCCTATATCAACAACAGAAGCATACAATGACAACAAATGCACCATTGAGGTTGGACTTGGAGCAATGGAAATGCCCAGTCATTCAGGCAGTACGTCATGAATTCGAGCTCAGAAATCAGCCACTCCAAAATGTACCTAAAGTGAGCTACCACTTACTTTCGAGAGTCCCTATTATTGGAAAGCCTTGTTTACTGAGTACGACGACCTTTGAGCCACATTAAACACCTCATACTCTCTTTCACTTTATGTGGCATATGGACCGTGCCATGTTAAACATCATTATTCTAAATCAAATATATTTGCNTCCCTATTATTGGAAAGCCTTGTTTACTGAGTACGACGACCTTTGAGCCACATTAAACACCTCATACTCTCTTTCACTTTATGTGGCATATGGACCGTGCCATGTTAAACATCATTATTCTAAATTTGGTCTTATAAAAACTATGAAATGTAATGTAGCAGGTAAAATTCAATTGCAGGCCAACAACAGAAACGAGTAACTTGTGAAGTATGTTTGTGACACTTTTTCCTAAATGTAAAACCCTTGGACCTCACCAATGCCATTCTGAAGTGTGGCAAAGAATGTTTGTCTAAAGCCCAACACTAAAATTCACTCCAAGTTCCTAATTTTGCAATTAGTGCAAAGTAAAAGTGTATGAAAACAGACTTTGTGCTATGATGTTGCATTGCATAATTCATATATTTCCTCATTCTTCTAAAGTTTTAAGAAAGTTGTAAACTTTGTGACAAATAATGCCAGAGGTTAGCTTTGAGGTTGAGTACAAAAAAATAGGCTAGCACATAAATTTCCCCCAATGAAAGTAGCACCAAAAATATTACCCATCAACAATAAATAAACAGATTCGCATTTGGACTCTCTACATTTCATCTAAACAATGAACCAACAAATTTCGGGAAAATCACATGTTTCTATCAGTATCCAAATATAAACAAAGAGCAAGAAAAAAAAAAACATTTATCACATCACATATTACCACTCACAACACGCAGTTAAGCATCTAGACACACAATTACACACACATTCATAAGAGAGNTTCATCTAAACAATGAACCAACAAATTTCGGGAAAATCACATGTTTCTATCAGTATCCAAATATAAACAAAGAGCAAGAAAAAAAAAACATTTATCACATCACATAATACCACTCACAACACGCAGTTAAGCATCTAGACACACAATTACACACACATTCATAAGAGAGAAGGGGTGGGACCTGTAAGAATTGGCGGGCAGTATCAGCGGTTTGGCCAACGGCGATCTCGAGGAAGGAGGAGACCATGCTCTGCTGGTCCGTCGCTGATGTAAACCCCTCCATCCTTCGACTCAGTTATCGAAACCCTAGACCGAGAAAGAGAAAGAGAGGGGGGAGCTTTGGTTGGGAAGTTTTTTTTTTTTTTTTTTTTNCAGTTATCGAAACCCTAGACCGAGAGAGAGAAAGAAGGGGGGGAGCTTTGGTTGGGAAGTTTTTTTTTTTTTTTTTTTTTCTTTTCTGTTTTCACATAAAGAAACCTACTTATGTCGTTAATAGAAGTACATCACCTCAACCATGACCAAAAAACAAAGTACATTCACCTCATCATCGTGCCACTGAGTCATTGAACATTACATGAAATCTATTGTTACCACTAACTTGCCCTATGTAATAGTTTTTACAAATATATCATCAAAAGTTCAAAACAGGATTTAAATTTATTCTAATATTTTTTTTATTTTATTAGTTGATCAATTAGTTATTGTATATTAGTGAAAAGCCTCTCCACATACAATGAATCTCACTTTAATCAAAAAATTTATTAATTGATCCAGAGAGATTATGAACAATAATTCAAATTCACATATTTTATGAATATAACTTTAAATTGAAAATGCATATAAGATATATTCATTGTTCTCCAAGTGCACCATTAGTTCAAAATTGCATTTCCAAATCCAATTAGAGTGCAAGACAATGAAATAAAAAGTTTATTGTTTTCCCAGTATAGTTTTTTTTATCAACCGTGAAATAGAGATTATCATATTGAATGCATAAATGACTCATCCCAAGAACAACAAAAAAATGTTGGTTAAATAGTTGCCTATCTAGAAGACCATATATAGAAGCGATAAGCACTTCTTCATCGAAGCCAAGCATTTTGTTCAATCGGCACTAGTGAAAATAATATTGTAGTCTCTGAAACCGATCATCCAACCAGTAAAAATGGCATGATTCAAATTTAACACATACGGTGGCAACTACATAAGTTCACCAATACCAAATAAAACAACATAAAAGTTCAACATTTTCATCCAAAACTACATCTTAACACGCTTTTTATCCAAAACCTGCAAAACCGACAAGCAAAATATAACTTTTTTCCCTAAGTTAAAGATATTAAGTCAGTAAACTCCATAAATGTGTTTCTTAAACTAGAATTTGACTTTCAAAGAAATACTAAAAATAAAAAAATATAAACATCATAAAGAGAATCGGGTTCTTCAGCTCACAATATGAAGTTTGCGAAAGTGAGAAAGGGAAAGATATGCATTCAATATTCTAGAACTATCCTTGAGGAATGACNCATAAAGAGAATCGGGTTCTTCAGCTCACAATATGAAGTTTGCGAAAGTGAGAAAGGGAAAGATATGCATTCAATATTCTAGAACTATCCTTGAGGAATGACACAAATTTTCAAAGGGTGAAAGCAATGAACATGTTAATGACAACAAATAATAAATAACTTATGATTATCCTTGAGGAATGATACAAATTTTCAAAGGGTGAAAGCAATGAACATGTTAATGACAACAAATAATAAATAACTTATGATCTCCATCTTTGCACTAAAGATCACCAAAACCTCAAAGCTCCCTTTAATAACATTCACAAACGTCATATAATCCATGTTCCTAACAAAATTAGCTCCCTAAAAAAAACTAAAAATATTCAATGTGTTTCATCCATGCATGCCTACCCATCAAACCTCTAGAACTAAAAAACATAAATATAAAAACCAAACAACAAATGAAGTTATAAGCAACTCAATTCTCCCCCCCCCCAAAAAAAAAAATTAATAATAATCATTGATTCAATACCACAAACACAGCACCATTACTCTCTCTTTCTCTCTCTTTCTCTCAAGTAACTTACTCTATTTCTTCCTCTCTCCCTCCCTCTCTCTAATTCTTCTATTTCACACCATCGCCACCGTCTACCATTACCCACTACGACTCCCACTACAACCCCTCCCAAGCCGTAGATTCGAACTATTCATTTTTTCATCTTTCCTAGATAAAAACCATAGTGTCGAACCCTAGATCAAAAGTCATTTCCTATTTTTAGTATTTGATAAAACCTTGGATATTTGGTGTGTGAGACCCGAACTCGTATATATAGTATTTCATATAGTGTTGGGTAATTAAATGTAAAAGGTTGATGTTAGTCATGGGATAAAATTAAAGCTATTTGGAATATGAGAGATAAATTATGAACTCCGACAATAAAATCTAGGGTTTAATCATGAAGTTGATAAAATAGTGGAGTGTGATTGGTTAGCTAGTAGAAAATAACAATGTAGAATTTGATTTAAGGGAAACCAGGAGAGGNAGGGTTTAATCATGAAGTTGATAAAATAGTGGAGTGTGATTGGTTAGCTAGTAGAAAATAACAATGTAGAATTTGATTTAAGGGAAACCAGGAGAGGGTTGGTGTAATAATTTTATAGTAATGCCCTAGTGGGCAATATATATACATATGTATACACTTGTCTAAGAGGGAAAAACCAATGGAGGCTTTTCTCTTAGTGGAGGTTTCCTCTCTTAAATGTATCCACTCTAAGCTTTGAAGAAGGGTTGAAGGAGATCTCCAATTCTTGGTGGAGAACTCCAACTTGGTGAGGGAGTTTTTCTTATTAAGGCTCAAGTAAATGGGTAATTTTGAGTGTTTTTGGATAGAGTTTGTGACGCCCCTAAAATCGGGGGTCTCGTTGACCATCTGTCAACCCGCGAAAATACCCGTAAATGTCGCGTGGCTCGACATCACATCCCTGTAACTGGGAACATAACTTACACATATAACCCATGTTCCTTTAATCATTTAATTCAACAGAGGTCCAATAAGCTTCAATATACCTCATTTAATGTCCATTTGTATCGTTGGAACTAAAGAAGACAAAGTTCAAAATGTTAGCATAATAATTTAAAAATCTCAGATTTTAAGAGACAGTACCGGTACTGTGTACCAGAACGGTTTGCCTTCTGGACAGACAGTATCGATATGCAGTACCGGTACGCTTTTCCTTATGGGCAAACTGCACCGGTACGTTTTTCCTGTTTTGCCCAATTCACCTATTGTCGATTTTAACCCATTCCAAAACCTACATTTTTCATCCAAAACATACTAAATCTTGTTTTTCACATATAATCTAATATATACAATGTCTAATACAACCCATTCCATACATTTACATTCCAAAATGGGTTTTAAACAAAAGTTTTTACAAAAACTTGTTTCCAAAAGTCACAATTCGACTTTTCATCATCGTTGATGCCCTAAATGAGTGTCATCCATCGAAGTATAGTCCGCACCTGAAATATTTTCCCGTATAGGATGAGCCAACGCCCAGTAGAATATTTTCTACGGAGGCTACTCCCCAACCTAAGTGCATATGCAATGTTCATATACAACATTTTTCAACAACAATCATTCCAACCAATATTTTATGCAAATCAATGTTGGAATCAACATGTCATGCCATGATATGAGATGAGATCCACTCATGCAATTTAGCCTCGAGCCTTCACCGACTCCCACTACACAATGCAATGCGCCTGTGTAATGAATCCGTCATTTGACGAAAAATGCATCCAATGATTATTTAAAATAAAAGTGATGCATTCATAAAATCAAATCATTGTGGATGTGACCCATTAAATGGATAATTTTATAAAACAAACGCTTGTGTCTTTGTTGGGTAATGGATTTTGGAATTTCACCGCCGACTCTATACACCTTTCTACATTTTTTGAACTTGCACCGACGGAGTGTATGAACCAGTAGCCGGGCCTTGCACCCAACACAAGTTTTCTTTTTCATGCATCCGTGGAACTTTATTGAACCGAGGTCCAACGGTACCAAGCCCACTTGTCATCCACCGAGGATGGCGTTTGACCCAAACCATGCACTCACACCCAAGAAATGCAATGTGTTCTCTGTGCATAATGCAATGTAATGGACCGTTACACTATCAACATCATGCTTAATGTAATGAATGCCAATGAACAATTTTAAATCACATGTCTACATGTTTCATGAAAATTCATATCATAAGCATATAAATTTCATAAATCATCACAATGTCAATATCTCAATGAACAAATACTAATATTTCTTTCCAACACATTTTATAAGCATTTTATACATCATCATATCATAACAACTTAATCCACACATAGGCATTTTGACAAACATCTTCAAGGCAACAATTCATGTTATTACACAAAGATTTTCACCTCATTCACAAAGTATAATATAACATATATAGCATGCTCATATAATCACCTTTCCCATGGAATTACCAACCAAGTAATTTTTACATCACAATTTCAAGCTAAAAAAATCTATTCCAACCCATTTACATACTCATTTTTCATACCTATTTCACCCATGTCTTATGCATAAATGAGTGAAATACATATTCCCTTTAACCCACATATTTTATATAACACTATAAGTGAGAAATGAACCAAAGTAGGAGAACCCCTACCTCTCGAAGCGTAAAATGACGTTGGGAAGCTCCAAGAACTCAAAACAATCTTAAATCTTCACTTCCCTAAAATCTCATTTTTTCAACATTTGGTGAAATCCGTCATTTTTGGTGTGGTCGCGTAGTCCTCTATGTGGAGAACAACTTTTGTTCTTACCCCGAGTGAATTTGAGCACCGTGGAGTTGTAGATCGTAGAGAGAAGTGGATAGCTCCTCCATTTTTTCCCCTCTTCCCCTCTCATGTTAACCGGCTGAAGAAATGGGGAAAAAATATGATTTTTTTCCCTATTTATACTCTTAGGATACTTGGTCCACAACGCGCCACATGACTCTTTTGCTTTCGGGTTCGTTTTCATCCTAAAACGATTAAATTTCATCCCGGTTTAAGTTCAAATTAATTTTATTTTAATTTATCTTTAATTATTTTTTAAATTTTAAAATTTTATTGAAAATTTCGTTTTTGGGTCACCCGAGACTCGATCGTCTCGTAAAACGCTAAAAATCTGACTATCTTAAAATTCGATAAAATTTGACGTGGTATCTAGATTTTGCGAGACGAATTCAACGGTGAGAT